TCCCCGGTTATACTATTGGCCTCCTCTGCGTCCTTGTCCTCCTCATTATCATCACTGAGCCTGTCAAACCAAATCATCTCTCCTCGTTCGATCAAACTCGGCTCAGCGTAAACCCCCAGGCTCTTTACCTTGCCATTGACACCAATCTTGAACTCGGCCGGAACGGCGCCACCCAACAGGGACCAGACCTCCGTCTCATACCAGGCGAGGAATTGCTCTCCCGAAACCCACTCGAGCTCAATAGTCACGTTGTTGAATCTGAACCAGTCGGCCCGCAGTACAGGCGCTTTCGGATCGCGGACTGGCGTTGATGGCAGTGATTTTTCCTCGACACGGAAGTCAATGCCGCGGAACCCGTCGTTCCAGTAACGGCCAGTGTACGCTTCGAGAGGCAGCGCCCGCGGGACCGGTGGTTTGGGTGCGTGAGGGTAGAACCTCTGTCTGGCATCGCCGACGGCATTTTCGAGCTGCTGCTTGAGCGACGCGTCCAGCTGCGGCACGATGTCGTCCTGCCGGTCGTCGGCAGCCACGCCAAAGCCGTCCTCCAGGAGCCGCAGGTACACGGCCTGCATGGCCTCCTGGGCAAAAGCGTCGGCATTGGCCAGCATGACGAGGCCCCACTGGCGGCCGGGGGCGTAGATCATTTGCGACGACCAGCCTGCCAGCTCGCCCCCGTGCGAAACGAGCTGCTCGCCGCGGTAATGCGCCGTGTCCCAGCCCATGGCGTAAAGGTCCGGGGACAGGTGCTCGAAGCGCTGAGTGTCTCCCGTGACGATGAGCGGCGTACCCAGGGCTTCAAAGTTCTGTTTTGTGAGCGGCAGAGACGCGCCGCCCTCCATGAATGCCCTTACCCACTTTGCCATGTCCGATATGCTGCTGATGATGCCGCCGCCGCCGACCAGTTCCGTGTCCGTCCAGGGTTGGTCATCGTGGCGACCGGTCAGAGGGTTATACGAGTATCCATGCGCCAATGTTGCGTTGCCGTTCCCGCGATCGAGATCTAGTGCGTCAGAGAGCTTGATGACGGTCGTGTTCATGCCCAGTGGTTCCCAAAGAGCCTCGCGGTGTACGTCGCCAATCCAGCGGCCGCTCAACTTTTGGATTACGGCCTGCACGAGCATGTAGCCTTGATTGAAGTAGCGATACTCCTGGCGTAGCTCGGCAAACGTGGGAAGGTGTCTCAGGCTGCGTAGCAAGTCCAGGATGCCATAGTTTTCGCCCCCATACGACTCGTCACAGCGCGGCATGCCGAGACGGTGTGCGAGCGCGTCCTTGATGGTGGCGTGGTGAGTTGCGTACTCTGAGGGTAGAGCAAAGTCCTCACCCAATATATCTCTGAGCTTGGAATCAACGGTCCAGGGCTGTTTGTTGGGGTTGAGCTTCTCGTGCTGTTCGAGCGTATACAAAAGCGAGGCGGCCGTGAAAGACTTTGTGGACGACGCAATGTAATACATGGTATCTAGCGTGGCCGGGGTGTCTGGCAAGATAGCATGACCAAAGACCTACATGATGTTTTAGCTCATGGTTATAATATTATGCTCTTGAGTGTATAGTACCTCAAAGGTTGTGTCGCTTCCATTGAGAACTGCAAGGGTCATACTCGGAACGTGAAAGTGTTCTATGATACTTTTGATGTATCGGACCGCGTCGGTGTCCAAACCATGATTGAAAACAGTCGCTTGAGGTAACTCTGCATTACCGAGCGAGGCCTGGTATGTAATTCTGGAGATACCAGTAGGAATGGTGGCAAGTGCTACCAAGCTGAAGAAAAGATATCGCATTTTGTGATCGGTTGCGAAGAAGCATTGGGAATCCTCCAGTCAATTTCCATGATGGCCACCATGTCCACGGTCATCTCACTGATGCGGGGCTAAAGTCGGAGTTCGGATCTCAACGATTGCTGGTACATGCGATGCAGAAATATGTGCTGCGCCGCATGGTGTCTCCGCGGAGCCATCATTTTATGTCAGCAACGTTTCAACTTTGCCAGTAAATATTCATTTCAAACGGTTCCGTCTGCCAGGATCGTTCTTCAAGGTAAACATTATTTGGTCCAGGAATTCGAACAGAATTTGCATTTTGCATCGAAGGCCCTAGTTTCAAATTCTAGTCCCTTGAAGCGGTAAAGATGTGGAACACGTACCGCCTTGTTTACGTTACACAAGCAAGATCATATCCAATACATTGGTGTAGAATAAAAACGGTTTAATTTTGACTATTGTGATTCTTCATTTCCAATCATGTTCTTGGCATGGGAAATAGTTTCCCCTGTTGAAACTCTATCGACTTATACTAGACTGACTTTCAACCAGCGCCTTACAAATCGACTATTGATTATGTTGAAATGTATGTCAAAAATATACAGCCAGATTTGTAATACAAAACAGAAACAGCGTAGATTAAATTGTTGAGTTTTAGGTTATGCAAGTAGCATTTCTCTAGAAGCACTTTATCCATGACGATCACACATTAATACTTGGCTTTTGTCTTTCGGGGGTCTATCATTTCGCCGATAATCTTCGGAACCTGACTAATGGGGGGTCTGTGGATTTGATGAACTTGCTTACCATTATACAGTTCAATTTACTATCATCTCTTTAACTCGGTGGGTTCCATGAAAACATCAAGCACGTGCTGTAGTGGGGGAGGCAAGATAGTATTCCCTTGTTATTGACAATGTGGACGATATATTGGTTGACCTACATTGCCAATATCTTGGGACTCGCCTTTAAACTGCAGAGGAGATCAGGTCCTACTATTGATCACTAACATCGTCTCTCTTCGCCTCGAAGCTTTCAACAATGGAGACTGCAGTATCGACGTCGTCGTCGACGACAATAGATGAAGAGTGCCAATTCCCCCGACTCGACTCTATCCCCGAGCGCAACACGCTGTCCCGACAAATCAGCGAAGTCCAAATCGAAAGGGGCCAACGACGTCACCCGCCACCGAGTACCGAAAAAGATACAAACAACAATGAAGATGCTGGTGCCCTCGTGGACAATGTGCGAAAAATACGAGGCTTCCGCTGGGTGACAGTCTGCGCATCCCTTTACGTGTCAGCACTCATGTATGGCCTGGACACGACTATTGCTGCCGACGTCCAGGGGGCCGTGATTGAAACTTTTGGCCAGGTCGCGCAGCTCGCCTGGGTTGGTGCCGCGTTTCCCTTGGGCTCGGTCGCCGTTATTTTGCCCTATGGCACCCTGTATGCCAAGTTCAACATGAAGTGGCTGTACATTGGGGGCATCGTCCTGTTCCAGGCTGGCTCGGCGCTGTGTGGTGCAGCGCCCACGATGAATGCGCTCATTGTCGGCAGAATCATTGCCGGTATGGGTGGGACGGGAATTTATCTTGGAGGATTGAATAACTTTTCGGCCATGACCACTCGGGAAGAACGCGGTACATATATCACGGGAATCGCGTTTTTCTGGGGTATAGGATGTATCCTCGGCCCCGTGGTCGGTGGCGGGTTCTCAGTCAGCTCGGCTACCTGGAGATGGGGTTTCTACATCAGTACGTTTGCCAGAATAATTCGTTCTTACAAGCATTTACTAATCCAGATTTGTGAACAGACCTCGTTATTGGAGCCATAACGGCGCCAGTGTACCTCTTTTACCTCCCAGCCATCCGACCCTACAGTGGCGGAACCGTCCGTAATCGTCTTCAAAGGCTTGACTTCGTGGGTTTTGTTCTCAGCGCAGGCTTTTGGGTTGCATTTGCTCTGGCCTTTATCTTTGCTGGCGGAATCTGGCCATGGGCCGACGGACGTACTATTGCAACCATAGTTGTGTTTGCTGTTGTCTTGATGGGATATGCTGCACAGCAGTATTTCTGCATTCTGACGACTCCAGCGACACGATCATTTCCAGGTCACCTTCTCAGCTCTAGAACGCAAATTTTGTTGTACATTGGAACATCATGTTGCGTTTCGTCACTCTTTGTCACAACCTATTACATTCCGGTCTACTTTCAATTTGTCGCGGGCGACACGGCCCTCATGGCTGCCGTGCGGCTGCTGCCATTCCTTCTAGTCACCATATGCGTCAACTTGGCATCCGGTCGGGCATTGTCCAAGGTCAAATTCTACATGCCCTTTTATCTGGTTTCAGGAATCTTGATGACATTGGGCGGTTCGTTGCTATACGCTTATCTCCGGCCATCGACACCTGCTGGACACATCTACGGCTTCACCGTCATTATCGGTGTGGGAACTGGTTTGGCGTTGCAGTTGGGATATGCAGTGGCCACGCTCAAGGTCCCGCCAGGTGACATTGTCAATGCCATCAATATGCAAAACGTCAGCCAGATTGGATCCACGGCCATTTGTCTGGTCATTGGAGGGCAGGTGTTTCAATCCGCCGCAGTCAGGAATCTGAATGTGGTTCTGGCCGGTCAAGGCTTTGGCCCAGAGGAAATTCAGAATGCAGTCTCTGGCACACAGAGTGTCTTGTTTCAGCAGTTGAGTGACGAGCTGAGGAGCGCAGCAATTGATGCAATCACGGGTGCAATGCAGACTGCGTTCATTCTTGTCATTGTCGCTGGAGGGTTGCAGATTTTGGCAGCTGTCTCGATGAAGAGGGAGAGATTGTTTGGGGAGATCGTCATTGCATAAAAGTTCAGCAGGTGCTTGCTTGCTTGGTCTTGTCAATCAAGTCAGACAAAGAGATACATGAGGTCATGGACATTTAAAAAAAAAGTGAAGCAATGATACATGCTTTCAGACAAGTCTGATTCGAGGTTTTGGCCATTAGTGATGCAACAATTGCAGGTGACATCTTTGGCGGTTCACCATAGTCCGGTAGTCGACGACGCAACCGCAACCGCGCCTTCCCTTGATTGCAGCGGTACGACATGGCAAACGCTGACAACACCAAGCAGAGAGGAAGAAAAAGAAAAAAGAATCAAAGGGTTTGAAGATCAAAAATTGATCATCAGTCAAGATATCGAAAGAACACGATAATTACTGTAGGAAAAAAAAAAAAAAGTCAAAAAGGTTGGGCCCAATCCCGGATTCGAACCGGGGACCACCTGCATACTCATCTGGTGATGAATGGACCTCGAGTGTTGCCCGAAGCAGGTATCATTCCACTAGACCAATTGGGCTGAGTTTCTTTGATTGATGTTGGAAGAAGGTCAATTTAAGTCCATTGATATATGAATGAAGTGTTGCGGGTCTTTGTCTCAGGAGTGGCCGCAGTGGCAGTTGGGTGGGTGGGTGACTCACGCGGCGAGGTACGCGAGTTGGGCAGGACGCGACTGCAGTTTCGGACGTATTTACGGAACGAGACCTCTCGGTTCCACCACCACCAAGGTTGCGAAACACTAATCATGTTTGATTTCACGATGCGAAAGAGAATTCCCAGTTGCATTTCTAATGCAGCGTGGCCGACCAAAGTAATGGGCACATGCCGGCCTCGGAAGAGGCGTTACCTAATGTAAGTGGACTTGGTGACGCTACCAGAATGCTGACTGCTGGCTGGATCATGTCAACTGTTCGATATTGCTAAGTGAATCTTTGTAAGTATTTATTGATTTTGTGTGTTCCCTTCGCTCTCATACGGATGTTTACTTGGAGTCATATGTGTTTAGCTATTGACCGTGGAGATGGCAACGCTGTCTAAGGTAATACGTCAAGTATGCATACTATAAAATGTACTTCTTAGTCACTGCAACATAATTCATTAACGTGCACTATTTATCGGTACTATATAATCATGTTATAATAATACGTTTCATTATTTAGGATCCCTTAAGTCATTCTTGGTTTTTCTCGCTTGCTTTATAATAATCTTTCATAGTTCGTCTCAAACACCAACTCGAAGTATTTAGACTCGTTCAGCCAATACTGAATATTCTCTTAAACCACACAAACAATTTCCACCCAAGACCTCCACGTCTCCGTTGCTTCTTTCTATGTAAATCACGTATCCGACGATCATTTTCAGTTCTACAGTCAGGGCATCGATGTCCACTTACAACAACCACACCATCCCCGTCCAACTCGAGACCTCGTGCGCCTATGGGAGTAGGTGGAACGCATCTTGTCTTCTCCAGCTCTAATCCATACGGTCGAAGGCGGAATTCTTGAGGCAAATACTTTACAAGATCCTTCTGTGGCGTCTGCGATATTTCATTAATATACACCCTTCGAGCCATTACGTTGAATGCTTGACGCGTTTGAATGTGTACGAATGTAGGCTGCTTGTACCGACCGCACCATTCGCAATGTACATTGACATACTTGGCCTTCATTTTCGTTTCGGAATGCGAAAACACACAAACTTCTCAATCACAGTCTTCTGACAGCAGTTTGGTTTTCAAATGAGTACACTGCGGCGTTGGGTATGCGACAAGTAGCCAGCGGTCTTGCCATTAGTCACATTGTATTTATGTATGCAGGTCATGGTTCAGACGCAAGTGCATACGTGAAAGGACTTACATACGAGTCCTTTGTTGTTGCTACCACGTACTCTTTGTATGGCTCTCGAGTGAATGAGATTGTTACTCGGTGTCGGTCCAAATAGCACAACGCTGCTGCCATTTGACTCTAGGTGGGTCGCGCATTATTGCGCCTATAGTCTTGGAACCGACCACTAACACCCCTGCATGGGCACTTAAGACCCCAGTGTGGGCAGATAACGACTCAACTTAACAACTTTTGGCCAAATAACGTTACAGCACTGTTGGCAAGTCGTTATATGGCCAAAGTTGTTAACTTTCAGTCCTTATGTGCCCAGCAACTCTTAATGGACAGGTAGTGGGTAATCTAGCCTAATTTGACCAAATTGTCCAACTTTGCACCATGCAATCTACACACACCGCATTCTGATCAATTACTGTATCAGACATCACAATCGCCATCGTTGTCGTCGTCGCCGTCGCTCCACTAAATCGCTAAAATGGTTACACAACGTACTTCCGTCCACCACCGTGCCGACAACGCGATTGCTGGGCCTTCGCGCCAGGGCGACATGCCAAAGACCAAAACAAGACGGCCGCGTAGCCCACGCAGACCCGGCGTCTCCTATCGAGTTCGCAAGCGCCCCCAGAAACCCGTCGCCGACAAAGTGCGCCTTCGCATGACCGCTCAACAGAAGGAAAAGTTCGTCAAGTACTGCGTCAAGGTCACGAATGACGGTGACGTGCGACAGAGAAATCCCATTAGTGCCTCAACGTTTGAGAAAATCTCCGATGCAATGAAGCGTCGATGGCCAAACCAGAATTTCTCTGGCCACAAGTTGGAATACGCATTAAAGCAGCTACGGGCTCGCTGGAGAACGTATTGCGACTTTATCTGACCCCGGCACGCCGTTCAACACGACGAGAATGGCATCCCAATGCTGTCCGAGAAGAAGTGGGCGGCTTTCCTGGAGAAGAATCTTAAGGACAACTGGCTTCGCAGAGAGTCCATTGGTGACGTAGTGAAGATGGGAAACCTATTCTGGCTTGGCGTACGGACCGGCATGTTCTGGCTTGAGACGGGTCAAAGAGAATCGGACTGTTTCGACGACGATTGGCCTCCCGAGACTGAGCAGGAATACTGGCTCTGTATACGCGGTGAATCGATGATACCATTGAGGAGAGCTCAGGTGCACCCAACTCTTCTTGATTGGGTCCCTTCCGAGACCTCATCCGAAGACGAATGGGAATCCTCTGGCAGCGAATATCCTCCAACGTTCTTTGCGGAACGCGAATACAAGAAGGCCGTCAGACGCTTTGACTATGATAGCCTCCATGGCGAATGGTCATACATGGAAACGTCCGACATTTTCACTGAGCCAAATGAAACTTTCCGTGTCAGCATAGAATTCAACAAGATAGCTGACAGGACGGAGAGGAGGAAGTATGTCGAAAGAATGCTCGAAAAATACTACGGCAAACCTAGAAGAGGCAGGGGTGAGGAACAGCCTGACACAGTCCAAGACGCCGATTCTCATGATGGTTCGGAGCAATCTGATTATAGATCTGATGAAGTTGACGAACATGGTGAAGATGGTGAAGATGATGAAGACGACAGCTTTGGAGATCCGAACGTCGAACTCTCTAACGACGATGGGCACCACTTTTCGTCACCGGCTGACGAACGAGCAAAAGCTCTCGGAACCATTATTGATGATTATTTGGACGGCTGGCCAGACTGTGGGAAAGTGTTGACGATTCTTACCATGCATGATCCGACCTGCGCTTATAGCATGGCCTTCAACAGGATGGGTGATGCAATGAAGAAGAAGTTTCTCGAAAGTTTAGTCACGGCTTATTCTGTTCCGGAAAGTGAGATGCTTCACAACACACATGATGCACTCAAGAAGTGAAGTAGTGCATGACTTATCAGGACCTTCCTCGCTGCCGTGGAGGCGTATGGCGCTCACATTACTCAGAAGCTCGCAGTAGATTAAATGATATTTTAGTATCAAGGCAACTGTCACTTTCTCCCTTTTCTTGCTTTCTCGTTCTATGACACTCGTCGTGCTTTTTCTGTTTCGATTATTCCCAAGGCTCCTTTGATTATAGTGTAATTTGGAAGCATATTATCAACCATAAACCGACCAGCGTCTGTCTTTCTGTGCAGGGACCAAATATTTGCACTTCAGGAACAGGAGCACTTATGGACGATCAAGGCAGATCCATACGCGGGCATCAAATTGATCAAAATGTAAATAAAATGAGTCGACAAAGAAATGACAAGACATAAAATTAGTTTTATACGATAATGGGTTGCATACAAATCGTCTCCCTTTCACAATCTAGGCAGCTCCAAATGCTGTCTTCGCGCATACTCTACTGTATGCGGAGCAGGTCCTCGTCCCCAAGAATATTAGTGCTTTAGACCCAGTGAAGCAACCACTTGAGCCATTGCAGACCGAGCAAGCTGTTGCCCAAGGTGGTGTAGCCCTTACCACCCTTACCACCCTTGCCACCCTCCTCCTCCTCGCCCGACTCTCCGCTGGAGTAACCACCCTCGTTCTCCTCTCCAGATGAGCCGGAGTCGTAGCCACTGCCTTCTTCCGCTGGTTCTGGAACCACGGTAGCAGTGACGTATTGAGTGGTCAATGTCGAGGGGGTGTCGTACGATGATCCAGAGTCACTGCCAGAATCGTATGAACTACCGGCACCGCCGCTGGAACCTTCTGAGCCGCCTTCAGAGGCACCAGACGAGCCACCAGCAATGGGGTTGCCGTTCTCATCACAGTCAGCGGCATTAGCACCACCCTCGGAGCCTCCGGAGCCTCCAGAGCCGGAGCCACCAGATCCATAGCTTGAATCGGCACCCTCACCGGAACCTCCAGAGCCAGTCTCATAGCCTGAGCCTGCACCTCCACTGCCCTCACCCTCGCCGCCCGCGCCCTCGCCTCCAGAGCCGTAGCCTCCAGAGCCAGTGCTACCCTCGCCCTCACCTCCTGAGCTGTAGCCTCCACCGGAGCTTCCAGATTCGGCGCCACTCTCACCGGAGCCGCCCTGGCCGTAGCCAGCGCCAGTGCTCTCACCGCCCTCGGTGCTGTAGCCAGAGCCCGAGCCCGCACCTGAGCCTCCCGAGCCGTAGCCCTCACCACCTTCACCAGCGCTACTTTCGCCTCCGGAGCTCTCACCTGGTCCACTGTAGCCAGAGCCAGCGCCGGCGCCTTCACCACCCTCGCCGCCGGAGCTACCCTCACCACCACTGTAGCCTCCAGCGCCGCCTGCACCCTCACCCTCACCACCACTGTAGCCTCCAGCGCCTCCTGCACCCTCACCCTCACCCTCACCACCACTGTAGCCTCCAGCGCCGCCTGCACCCTCACCCTCACCTTCACCACCACTGTAGCCTCCAGCGCCGCCTGCACCCTCACCTTCACCACCACCGTAGCCTCCAGCACTGCTACCCTCACCCTCTCCGCCAGAGCCACCAGAGCCACCAGAGCCACTGTAGCCTCCAGCACTGCTGCCCTCACCCTCGCCGCCGGAGCCACCTGCACCACTACCGCTGTATGCGCCCGAGGCACCTCCTTCCTCGCCGGCGCCCTCGCCCTCGCCCTCGCCTTCACCACCGGAACCGTAGCCAGAGACTCCGTAGCCGGCCGGCTCCTCATCCTCGTCGTACTCGCCATCATCGGCCTCGCACTCGT